GTATTGTTTTTATATATATATATATATATATATATATATATATATATAGAAGTGTGATATAAATCATGAACAATCATTTATGAATAGTCGTTTGATTTAAGTACAGTTTAATTGATTTTTTTAGACATGTACATTGTGTTCAGAGGCCTCTGGTTTCCATTTTAACACTGTTCTTTATGTATTTGCAGGGCTGCAACTGTTCTCACTGTTCCTAATGGCACAGTAACGTTTGAGTTTGAGCCTGTTAACGGCCAATATGTCAACATTTTTTTACCTGGGAACGATGAATACCTTACTCTGTGTGAAGTCGAGGTGTTTGGAGGTGAGGGACAGAAAGAGAAAGACAACTCTGTGATATAATTCTTTTTATGTACTTACTATTGTGTGTATTTTATTAACAGAAAAGGACAAAGCATTGCACATTTGTGTTCCAAGTGAGTGCTCTTCATTACTGTGAATGTTGTCAGTAACACATATATGCGACCCGTGCTGGCCAAATTAGTCAGAATGAGCAAATTTTCAAAAATGGGTTCTCTTCATTTTCACATTCTACATTAAAATACCTTCAAAATGATATATAACCTTTTGGAATCTGACAAAAAAAATAAAAATGACTGGGCTACAGCCGCTTAAATGCGATAGAGTCAGCAAAGTCAGTTTTGAGAGAAATCTAGTTAAAGTTTTAAAATCAGAGAGCAACATTGCTTATTTTCCTCCAATTCTTTTCTTAATAATAATTAATGCTGCGCTTTGCAACGATATATCCTACAACTTGTGGTGAGAAGCAGCAGCAGTCATCCAGAAGTGAGCAGAGTACAAAGGTACTTCCCTCAGAAAACATACAATATAGATAAAGATATAAATAATAAATAATAATAAATAATAAATAAAGATATAAATAAAGATCATTTTAGATGTCTAATTACTATCTGAAGAGGGCTTAATGAACTCATTTTTGTGAAAACCTCAAATTGACATTTTTTCACTTATTTTGCCTGTAGCACAATATTAGACCGTATGCATTCACACTCATTTTGCCAGCATGGGTCACATATAATATTCTTATTGAGCATTTGCTAACCAATAAGTGATAATGTACATCCAGACAGTAGCTATCACAAAATATCCCCGGCTAATTAAATAAATAATTTTGGACACGAAATATTGATTTGAGTTAAAATATTTGATTAGCTCACTTGTAATAAACGCAAAGCTTGTGTGAAGAACAATAGCTACAAGCAAGACAAGCGACCACTTCTATTTATACGAATACCACTTATTGCATGGCTTTTCACCAAACACATAATTACATGGGCATATTGATTTGAGATGAAACTGTTTTAAATTAAAGTTAAGTTATTGTCTGTCATTTTATGTTAAACAGGGAATCTTGCTCTTGGAGGCAAAGCTGTTCAGTCTTCCACATACAGTGATTTAGCAGCTGCTCAAAATGCTGTCGATGGCAACAGGCAGTCAAGTTACGCACTCGGCTCATGCAGCATGACTAACGGGGACACGAACCCCTGGTGGAGAGTTGACTTGTTGGACGTCTACAGGGTAACCAGGGTTAGCATCACTAATCGTGGAGACTGTTGTGAAAAAACTGTCGAGGGTATCCAGATCCGTATCGGCAACAGCCTGGAGAATAACGGCAACAATAATGAGCTGTAAGTGCTGTCTCTCTCTTAATACTTACATAAATTGTTAGAAAATGAGTAAATAAGATGAAATTACTTTGAATTAATCATTTTAATACAAACTTGCCTTTGACAGAAGTATATCTGATATGTCTCTCTCTTTTTCTCTGTTTCTGTGTGTCTTCACAGGGCTGCAGTTGTTGGGCCCATCCCACTTGGAAACACCAAAACATTTGAGTTTAAGCATGTTACGGGTCGATACGTCAACCTTATTGTGCCTGGACGCACTGAATACCTCACACTGTGTGAAGTTGAGGTATATTCAGGTGAGAGATAAACGGAGAGAGACGTGGTGTTTAGAAATTTGAATGTGTATATATGTAATATGTGTATGCAGCCTTAATGATTATTTTGTATTTTTTCTGATTTCATTGCCAGATTAAGTGGAACAAGATGATGTTACACCACAGTCCACTGATCTTCTGAAACTATTGTTTTCATTTTACTTATGCACCTTGATCCTTCCTCCAGGGGATTTGTATTTACACCTTAAACACTCCTATTATTCTTTATCTTTGCTTTCTACATTAATAAATTACTACAGCACTGCATGTTGTATTGCATGTTTCTGAATCAAAAAATAATTGTGATGTTTACAGTGAGGAGGAGGTATAAAAACACATTCCCGCTTCCAGTTTTAACAGAAGACATGCACAGATGATTGGAGTCTGTTTGATGAATACTGTACTTACAGGGTTTTAAAAATAGGCTAAGGAAAACCATAAATTATCAGGGTTGCAAATTTATCCTAAATTAAGCCCTCAAGGATGCAGGAAAAGTTGTGTGAGGCAACAGATCATATTGCAACAAACATGTATCAATTATTTTAGCACTTTCAAACATGACAATTTAAATTAATTACATTTATTTATAAAAATACACATGCACATATGCACACAAACAAATGGTAATTTATATTTATTTATATAAGTGTATTATGTAATCATAGGCTACCTCAAACTCTAATATGCATGACTCAAGTTTCATGTTCCGAATCCAAATGCATTTTGTCAAGTGAAGAGAAATTAAACATATGTCCTAATGAGGGAGTGGGGAGCATCTTAAAGGGATAGTTCACCCAAAAATGAAAATTAGCTGATTTACTCACACTCAGGTCATCAAAGATGTAGGTGACTTCATGAAAGTCAGCAACTACCGGTTTTGAGAATAATAATAATAATAATAGAAAGTAGATCATGCAACACACAATGAATACCCGTGGCTCCTGATGATATATTGATCTTATGAAGTGAAACAATCATCTGTGCAAGAGACTGAACATTATTTACAACATTATTAACTGTAATACAGAGCTTTAGGCAAACGGTCCGGAGTGATGTCCGGTTCATGAACAAATCATTATTTTGAAGCGATTCTTTTTAGTGAAAGAATCAGTTGACCAAGTCGGACTGAACCGTCTGAAACAGTTTGCGGCTCAAGCAGCACGTTACTCAATCAACGTTACTCACTTTCAGACATCCTACAGTCACTCTGACTGGAAATGAGCCAAAATACCGCCGCATCTGCTCCTGTGATGAACAAACTCATTCAGAGCTCCAGTTCCTCCTCCAGTCACCGAACTGAGGAAATGGTGCAACTCAGACCGAAAACTGATATGTGCATGCATGAACCGAGCACTTGATTGAAGGACCAAATTAAAGTTTTTATGGTTTCTCATGGTTTATGTGTAAAAAAAAGTGTTTCTGCATCTTACATCATTGCGTGACTGCAGAAACAAACCAGTTCATTGAAACAAACTGTCTGAAAGAACCAGCTTCACGGAAAAGAACATAAGGATACAGAGCAAATAATCTATGCTAGTCAAGGATAATACAGTTTATATGTGTGCAAGTGTGTGAGGCTTTACAATTCATTTGAATAGTTTGATTAGTACCTATGTGTCATTCAGTGATTCCAGTACTGCGGAGTGTTGAACACAATGTGTGCTATAAATCTCCACACATAAAATGTATGTAAACTCACCCTGGTGGGATTATTCTGTCTCATCCTTAATTTGTAGTTTGTTTTGTAGATAGCCAGTGTTGCAGCCTCCGCAGCCCAATCAGTATAAGACTCACACATACTATAAATACAGCATATAATACACAGTGCTATTTGAAAACTACTTTAAAAAGAACATTTATTTTCATCCATACACCTTATACTTGAGAAAATGTATTTCTTAGGACTAAAACTACACAATCTTTGAAGGGAGGAGAGAGTCTTATTTCACTGCATTTGTACTGCT